CCCAAAACCCCAAAACCCCAAAACCCCAGCAAAGTTTATTAACGATAAAAAATCAGATTAAAATAATCCTAATTAATTTAAATTCAAAATGAATCAGACATCCCAAGCAGTAAGTGACCAATCAAGAAGACTCAAAGAACTAAAGCAAGAACTAAATCAAATCAAATCTGGATCTACTCTGAACAGGACAACTATACGGTAGAATAACATGGATGATTCTCAGAATAAGACAATGCTTATGGATTAGTCTAATCTGAAAATAAATTAAACATAGTTAAACTAAACTAGCATGATGCCGCCTAAGGGATCCTCAAAACTAAAGAAGAGATCAAATTCAAGAGAGTCTAGACGCTCAACAGCGAATCAAAAGCCAATTATTGAGTATAATTCAAGTTCCTCGGATGATGAGGATAACCAATCGAAAAAACTTAGAAATATTGATCCCTCTGACTAGAAAGCTTAACTTTGCCATAACATCCTAGATATATTTACAAAGGCTAGTAACATTTAGGAGCAAAAGGAACAGTTAGATTAGCCTAAGTCAAGATCTGTAAAAATGGCTAACTAGATTAAGATTGATAAGATCAGAGAAATTGTGACAGTATTTGAAAAAGATCTTGGTAATCTTGAATTATAAACTAAAAAGGAACTAGACAAAATGGATAGAGATGAAGACACTGGTAAAAGAAGAAAAGAAACAGCGCAGAAAATGATAAATGACTTAGAGAAAAGACTATTTGAATCAGAGAGAGAACGAGTGCTCTTAAGAAGAGAAAAAGATGACTTGAACAAAGATATCAAAGAGATAAATTCAATGACTGAGAGGAATACGGTCAACATGGAAATGCTTAACATGATAAAAGAAAATCAAAAGCGTTTGGAAGAAACTAACAAAAGAATGCAAGAAGCAATAGTAAGATAAGAAAAGGAATTTAGGGATAAGGAAGATGCCTGGTCCACTGAGTTTAGAATAGTCCAAGAGAAATTTTAGGTGAGAGCTAAGTAAAATCACTAGCAATAATGAGTAAGGAGATTTCTAAATCACAAGTGAGAAATATAAATAACAAAATGGGAAATTATATTATCCATACAACTCTTATTAACTAATATGGAGAATTCATCTAAATTTAGCGTGATGGGGTTTTGGGGTTTTGGGGTTTTGGGG